TCACCCCCGCCATAACCCCTCCAGCAACCCTCTGTTTGTTCTCTATATTTAAGAGTCTCTTATGTTTTGTCCCCCTCCCTGTTTTTACATTATTTTTCTTTCCCTTTCCTTATGTTCATCTGCTTTGTATATTAGATTCCTCATATGAGGGAAGTCATATGATATGTCTTTCTCTAATTTCGCTCAGCAGAATACCCTCCGGTTCCAACCACGTAGTTGCAGATGGCAAGATTTCATTCTTTTTGATTGCTGAGTAATACTCCAGTGTGTGTGTGTGTGTGTGTGTGTGTGTGTGTGTGCCCACGTGTGCACGCGTGTATATGTACATACACACACACACCACATCTTCTTTATCCATTCATCTGTTGACGGACATTTGGGCTCTTTCCATACTTCGGCTATTGTCGATAGTGCTGCTGTAAACATTGGGGTGCATGTGTCCCTCAGAAACAGCACACCTGTATCCCTTGGATAAATACCTACTAGTGGGTCGTTTTTTGAGGAACCTCCGTACTGTTTTCCAGAGTGGCTGCACCAGCTTGCATTCCTACCAACAATGCAAAAGAGATCCTCTTTCTCTGCATCCTTGCCAACATCTGTTGTTGCCTGAGTTGTTAATGTTCGCCATTCTGACAGGTGTGAGGTGGTATCTCATTGTGGTTTTGATTTGTATTTCCCTGATGATGCATGATGTTGAGAATTTTTTCGTGTGTCTGTTGGCCATCTGGATGTCTTCTTTGGGGAAGTAAGGGACAGCTCTTTCTTTCAGTAGAAATTCTAATTTCTGAAATTTCTTTCAGTAGAATTCTAATTAACAAATACAAAATGAAGGGTAGAAATAGAAAATCATCATTAAGCAATTACCACAGTAATAACTATTGTAGGCGAGAATTATCAATAGATACAACAATAGTGGAGCAAAGGTACGATGAGAAAGAGGATATTTGCAGAATCTCAAAATGTATCCCTGCGAGAACCTTTGCTGATGACAAAGGGTGAAGAAATTTGGTAGACACCACCTTGACCAAGCTAAAAAGTCAACACCGCCAGTAAGGAGATGGGTGTCCTCATGTACCTCCTGATGGCTCAACATCACTTCTGTGATATTCTTGCCAAAAATGCACAGCCTCAACCTAATCATGAGAATGCATCAGACAAACCCAAATCAGAGAACAGTGTACAACATAACTAGCCTGGACTCTTCCAACACGTCAAGGTTGTGAAAGGCAAAGACAAACTGAGGACTTGCCACAGATTGGAGAAGGCTAAGTAGAGGCACAGCAATTAAATGCAATCCAGGATCTTGGACTGAAAAAAAAAAAAAAAGACATAAGTGGGACAGTTTTTAACCTTTGAATAAGACTTGCAGGTTGTTTGTTTTGTGTCAATGTAAGTTTCATTATTTTAATTATTAGCCATGGGACGCCTGGGTGGCTTAGTCGGTTAAAGTGTTCAACTCTTGATCTCTGCTCAGGTCATGATCTCACAGTTCATGAGTTCGAGCCCTGTGTTGGGCTCTGCGCTGCCTGAGTGCAGAGCCTGCTTGGGAATCTCTCTCCCCCTCTGTTGGTGCCCTTGCCTCTCGAGCATGCTTTCTCTCTCTCCCTAAATAAATAAATAAATGCATGCATGCCATGGTTATGTAAGGTGTTAACAGAAGGAAAAGTTGGGAGGATGGGATTTAGGAACTCTACCTAAGTTTTGCAATTCTTTGTGAGTCTAAAATTATTTCCAAAAAGAAAAGTTAAAAAGGAATATTCTGATATGATTTTGAACAATTTGGAATTTCTTTTTTGGCAGGAAGAGGAGAGTGATATATCAAAAGACCCCTCTTTATAATCTCTTCTGTTGGGGTTTCAGTTTTGCAATCAGTTTTAGAGTAATTGTGATTGTTTTGGGTTTTGTTTTGTTTTTAAAGCAGTAGCCCTTTAACCTGTGACCTGATAGAGCCTTTAATAATTATCCTCACATATTTATTTCCAGGTAAAAAACCTTGAGCAATGGTGACTTACTCCCAATGGCAATGGAACCAGGATTTTAATTCTTTGGGTCATCTTTTTTTTTTTAACAAGGTCTGGCTTTCTCTGACCTAAAGCCATGGGTATAATAGAAACATTTCAGAAAACTAGTCTAATCTTAATATCCAACAAATTGTAAGATCAAGATGTGGATTTTTGTTCCCCAAGGAGCAGATTAAAAAAAGAAAACCTTATGTGTCTGTATTGCCTTTTGAGTAATTTAACTTCCTTGAGGGGACCTTCTGGGTCTCCTTTCCTCATCTGTATCCCTGGCTTCCAGCCAGTGCTATACTCTTCCTGGATCATGGAGCAGAATATGGAGAAAGTGCAAATCTAAGTGGTGGGGGACTGGGAAGATAATGGTGTGATGGAACTAACTTTTTTTTTTAATCACAAATTTCAATAGAAAAAAATTTGATTTGCCTTACTAAGGCTTAATTCCATAAAAATCTTTGATCTCTGAAAAATGATAAATAGATTCAAAGTAGAGTAAGTAACCAAAAAAAACCCAAAAACAAATTAGAGACCTCTGACTTCCCCGTTGGCAGTAATGTGTCTCCTGATGACATTTATTTTTCTAATTTAAAATTAAACATCCATCTCTCCTGTTGTTGACTTTTTACTGCATTAATTTGTGTCATTTTTTCATTAGCATTTCATCTGTGTCTAAAATACTTCATCTCCTGTTTGCTTTGTCTTCCAGAAACTGTATTTGACCTTAGCTGTTACATAAATTGCATGTCATTGAAAAACAAACAAACAAACAAACAATTTTTAAGAGTTGACTTTGAGGGGTTTGAAGAAGTTCTTCATCAGTCCAGAAACTATTTTAGATGGAGGCGAATTGAGTACAGGACTGTCCCATAGAATGAGATCTTTTTTGGGGGTGGGGGTTGAAAATAGAGACACAGATCCTCACCGAGGTCTGTTGGGTCCAGATGACAGCATCTCCAAGTCACCTTGGCCCGAAGTTGAAGTAATATTAGATTATTTGTCCTCTGCCTACAATGAATCAACAACTAAGGAACTAAATTCAGATTCCTGAATGCCTCTCCTGCCTTTGGCTGCTTATGTCTTCTGTCCCCAATTCAGAGGGGTTTTTTTTTTGTTGTTTTTTTTTTTTTTGTTTTTGAGACACCTTTGTCTTTTAGGAAAGATGCCCAAGTGGTATGTATTCTAACAGATGAAACAAAACTGGCTTCCAATGTAGTAAAAGTCTAACACCCATCATATAAAATTAACCATAATTTTTTTACAGTGATTTCTCAGGAGCTTTATTTAAGGCGGCAGATGCAACCTTCCCTGCTAGCTGGAGAAAAAAATTCTGTAATTTAAATTAATGTTTTACCATACTTGGGATGGAGAAGACTGAACTTGCCTGTTTCGTGGTCCTTCATACGTTTTAGCTAACTTAGTTTAATTCATTTGCAAAGTAAACAAATTGATTTTTTGTGTGTGAGAAGGAGGATTAGATTCTGGATACCTTTTCAAAAATATTTGTTATGTACAATTTTAAACTGCCTCATTTTTTTTCACTCTTATTTTCTTAACGCAGACTTCCTTTCATTAGTTGAACTAATGAACTTCTGTCTAGATATATTTTATGCCAAAGAATATGCAGTGTGTTAGAGTCAGAATTGCTAAGGCTAAGACTGTGTCCTGTATCAACTTGCTAAATGTTTAGAAGCCTAGTATCACATCTTTTGGTTTTCTCAGTTATGTATCTTGTTTAAAAAAAATTTTTTTTCAACGTTTATTTATTTTTGGGACAGAGAGAGACAGAGCATGAACGGGGGAGGGGCAGAGAGAGAGGGAGACACAGGATCGGAAACAGGCTCCAGGCTCTGAGCCATCAGCCCAGAGCCTGACGCGGGGCTCGAACTCACGGAGTGCGAGATCATGACCTGGCTGAAGTCGGACGCTTAACCAACTGCGCCACCCAGGCGCCCCCTCAGTTATGTATCTTTTAAGCAATGTCAATAGAGTTGACGTCAATGGAACTATTATTTTTAGAATGCCAGTTTAAGAGCATTTGGCTTTTCCTGCATCTGATTTTGAAATGCAATTTAAGACTAATCTGAAATGTCATTTGGCCAGGTATGAGTCATTGTCATTTACCAGTAAACCTTTGAGTTCATATTGCCATCTGAAATGGAAACGGAGGAGTCTAGCCACAAGAAATAGCTGTAGCATTTTAGCATCTTTAGCATTTTCTTTCCTTTTTTAAAACGTGTTTATTTTTGAGAGGGAGAGAGAGAGAGCGAGCGAGCATGAGCGGGGGAGGGGCAGAAAGAGGGAGACAGAAGATCAGAAGCAGGCTCTGTGCTGACAGCAGCAAGCTTCATGCGGGGCTTGAACTCATGAACTGTGAGATCACGACCTGAGCTGAAGTTGGATGCTCAACCAACTGAACCACCCAGGCTCCCCTTTAGCATTTTCTGCCATGGCATGGATGGCAATCAATGAAACCAAGGGCCCCATGAAGTGATTTTTGCCTGAAGGAATGATTTTTATATTGCTTCAAAGGTTCTATTCCCCAGGAAACTAATGAGGTTTTTATAATTCCTGAGGCACTACCTACCTGATCCTAGTTTTTAGGGGTTCTAAAGCTAGGACTATAATCTTTTAAACATTTCTTAAATGAATGTGGAGGGGAAAGGAGCATCTTTTGTATACGTACACAAATAATTGAGGTGGTCCAAAAGCTTGGTTGTCTGGTCTTAGTAGCTGTTGGCGGAAGAACGGAAGCTGACTGGTGGGTCCGGTCATGGGTGCTTTGAGTAGCGACTCCCAGCCGTGGCAGAGGACTGGGGCCGATGTCGGAATTGCTCTTTGTGTTACCATTTGAACTGTGGGGAGAAAAAGCAGTTGGCGATCCACTGGTATAAAGTCAGCCAGATGAGAAGGAGAGGTCCTAGAAGGCTGGAATTCTGGGCTCCACTGATGACAGAGACCTCATCTCTTTAATATCTCTGGTTTCAGATTGCCTGCTTGGTACCTGTGGACCAGTTTCAGCTTTATCAACAGTTAAAATTTGAACGAGGTATGTATGCATGCTCCTGTCTATCCCGATGGTGGGTTGTGGCTTTACAATATGTCATCTGCGCACTAACCTGAAACCATCGTGTAAGGTTGGGGCGGCTGTGGGCTGTCAACAGAGCCACAAGGACACGCCAAAAGGGGAAAAACTGTAATTGCAACACAAAATTTCAGCTTTCTCAGCCAGAGGTAGAAAAAATGCGGACGAGCAGGAACTAGAAGCTTCCTTATTTTGGTTGCTTTATATTTTTAATTTGGCTCACGTGAAGAGAGGTTCTACAAAAGCTGGGATAGTTTCACAAAAGAACATGTTCCTTAAAATGGGTTTTACCACCCATTTACCCCTCCTGAAGATCACTTCAAAACATGAATCAACCCAAACATTTTTACTGCTGCTTGTGATACTCACCATTCATTCCTTTGATACTAGTAATCATAGTGATGGCTGAGTGTGTCCTCCCCATGCGATCTACAATGCATCAGACTCATTTTCTTTCTCACTTTGGCCTTGGGGTAATTGATAGGGCTTTTTTCTTTGTACTGTCTTTTTACCTGTAGGATTCATTCATTCATTCATTCATTCATTCATTCATTCTTCTGTTGGCTTCTTGCAGATCTTTTTCAAGGAGCCCTTTCCCTGCTGTCACACCCTGTACGTTTTTTAAAAAAATTTTTATCGTTTATTTTTGAGAGATAGAGCACGAGTGGGGGAGGGGCAGAGAGAGAGGGAGACACAGAATCTGAAGCAGGTTTCAGGCCTTGAGCTGTCAGCCCAGAGCCCTACGTGGGGCTCGAGCTCACGAACCGCGAGATCATGACCTGAGCCGAAGTCAGTCACTCAACTGACTGAGCCACCCAGGTGCCCCGACACCCTGTACATTCTTGAACTAAATGGTCTGTTTTTCCATATCTGAGAAATAGGAGAAAATTGCTTTTGGGTCTCATTGAGTACCCAAAATAAACTCTCATACAGCATGAACATACAGTTTTCTATTGATAACTTTTAAATCTGTGTCAGTAAAGTCTAGAGGTGAGGGTAGGGGGAAAGAGGTACAGTTATGTCTCTGGTGCCAGTAAGTTTGATAAACACAATTACCTTTACCTCATTTAGCTTTTGCAGTCACCCTGACAGATGATTCTTACATGAGAAAAGAAGACCATGCAGAATATGAGGGGACAAGAGTAGACCAGCGGGGGAGTCATGGGATGGCTCTCACTACCTAGGACCAAGGTTTGGCCAGTTTCATAGGCTAATTTTTTTTTTTTTAGCAAGCCAAAAGCAGATTCATCTCTCCTGGGCAGATCATTTAACTACATTTTTAAGGCTGAAATATTAAAATGGAAATTACTAAAACAATTCTTGGACTAGATTACTTGAATTACATTTTTGCCTCATAGGAAGATGCAGATAACGGGTGAGGAAATAGTTAGGATGTTGTTGAATGTGGAATCTGAACCAGCAAAGTCAGGTGAATTTTAGGTTTGATTCATGAAGACACAGCCCTGTGAATCAGTCCTGTGTGGATTCTCAGCCAGCTGGAGAAGTTAAGGATGGGGTACTTTACATCTCAGATCTAGCCATGCTGGCTGATTAATACAGCCCGGGGTGCTTACTGGGTGTGATGGCCAGAGATGATAATGTCAAACACCTGGCCTGCCATTCTCCCACTTTATCCCAGTATCCTCTGTTATAAAGATAAATTACTGTGGGAACACAGACATTCCAACTATTCACCCCACACATGGATGTGGCTGTAGCCAGTGCAGTGATTTAAGGGGTCTTACCTGGAGAAAGTCAAAGAAGTTAGACTGCATTTTCAGTCTTCTTAACTGGTGAGCTCTGTCTCACTAGTCCTACTCAGTAACCGGGGCTCTGCCCATTGTTGGTATGCCCTTGGCCTATACGCACCTCTGCTTTCTCCTGCCCTGGACCTCTTCCTCACCTGCCTGCGGCCCCATCTGTCAGGGGCAGGCCTCATTCCTCATTGTTTACATTTTACAGACTACTTACTAGCTGAAGTGTCGTTTTGTAATTCATGAGACAAATTCTAAGAGTACTAGGAATTAAAACTTTGTGTGAGTTGGTTCTCACTGATGAATATAAGCTTTTAGTGTATTTAAAACATAGTGGCTAAGAGCCTCGGCTGGGAACGCAGGCCCTACGGCTTACCAGCTGCGTGACCTTGGACAAGATACTTAATTTGTGTACCTGGATTTCCTCGGCTGCAACATGCGGATGATGTTGGTTCCCCTCCCATGTGGTTGGGATGAGGACTAAATGAATTAAAACATGTAAAGCACTTCCTTGAGTATTTCGTCTCCGTGTTCAAAATGTCAACAGCTGTTGATAATAAAAATACTAATAACTTCAGAGGGGCACCTTTTACATTGACGCATATGCAGTGTTCTTGTCTTATTCCCCAAATGGGATAATCTTCACATTCTCTAGGAAATATCCCCATATTGAAATAGAGAATAGGGGCGCCTGGGTGGCTCAGTCAGTTAAGCGTCCGACTTGGGCTCAGGTCATGATCTCGCGGTCTGTGAGTTCGAGCCCTGCGTCGGGCTCTGTGCTGACAGCTCAGAGCCTGAAGCCTGTTTCAGATTCTGTGTCTCCCTCTCTCTCTGACCCTCCCCTGTTCATGCTCTGTCTCTCTCTGTCTCAAAAATAAATAAACGTTAAAAAAAAATTAAAAAAAAATGAAATCGAGAATACGATTATCTTGTTGTTAGTGGGATTAGAACATGTGAAGTTAATTGGCCACATCGTGTGTGTGTGTGTACATACATACATTCTTGAGTTTGGACAAATTGATGACACACATGTGCCATTACAGTATCATACACAGCGTTTCACTGCCCTAAAATTCCTCTAGGCTCCACTTCCTCATCTTTTCCCACTACCCACTGGCTGCCACTGATCTTCTTAATGTGCCCATAGTTTTGCCTTTTCTGGAATGTCCTACAGTTAGAATCATGCAATATGTAGCCTTCTCAGATTGGCGTCTTTCACTGAGCAATACGCTCTTAAGTGCTACATCCATGCTTGTGGTAGGAAAAGCCTTGCTGCGGGAGAGGTCCACATGGAAAATCATCGGCCAGGACTCTCGTTCTCCCCCAGAAAGCTTGGATAGATGTCCTCACACTTTACTTTGTGATTGGGACTTTTTGATGTTCTTGTAGTGTTCAGCCCTACTTCTGATTGGCTTATTTATTCATCAGGTGTGTTAATATACTCGGTCCAGTTACAGTCAAGTTGGGGAGGTCTTAGAGCCAGTTTGTAGGTAGTCTTGCATATCTTAGATTTGATGCATTATAAATTGATCAAGCAGTTTTACTCCTACACGGAATTTATTTTTTCTCACAAGTTCCAGGTGGATGTCCCATTACCCATCCCACGAACTGATAATGGATTTTATTATTCCTACTTTGTAGATGAAGAGAGTGAAAACTGGAGAGGTTGAGACTTGCCCAGCATCACATAGACTGTGTCTAAGCTTCCTCATCTATAGATTGTGTGTTGTGTTAATTGCATAATTTTTTACTAGGGTAATATGTATCTGCAAAACATAAAACTTACCATTTCATCCATTTTAGGTGTACAATTCAGTGGCGTTAGGAACACACACAGTGTTGTGTAACCATCACTACCGTCTACTTATCACCCCAAGCAGAAACTGTAGTCATTAAATAATAACTTCACATTTCCCTTTTTTCCCTGGCCCTTGGTAACTTGTAATCTGCTTGCTGTTCTGTAAACTTGCCTAGTGTAGATATTTCATTTAAGTGGAATCATACACTATATTCCTTTTGGGTCTGGCTTACTTCCCTTAGTATAATGTTTTGAAGGTTCAAAACATGGTGCTGTGTATCAGCACTTTTTATGGCTGAATAATATGCCACTGTATGGATATCACACATTTTGTTTATCCATTCATCTGTTATAGGACACTTGGATCGTTTTTACCTTTTGCCTGCTGTGAACAATGCTACAGGGAACACTGGGGACCAAGTATCTTTTTGAGTCCTAGCTTTCAGTTCCAATGGGTGTACACTTAGAAGTGGAATTGCTTGGTCATGTGCTGAATTCTGTATTTGGTGTTTGAGGAACTGCCCAAACTCTGTCATTTAAATATAAATTTAATTGTATATTTTTACTGTCATAAAGCATGGAACCACAATTACATTTGGAAGTATGTTAAATCTGGGAGTTTGGTTCAACTCCCTTGTTTTATAAGAAAGGAAACCAAAGTCCAGAGACATTTTGATCTGAGGTGATTTGGGAAGGCAGTTTATAATTATTTATTTATTTATTTATTTATTTATTTATTTATTTATTTATTTTAAAGTTTATTTATTTATTTTGAGAGACAGAATGAGTGGAGGAGGCGCAGAGAGAGAATCCTAAGCAGGTTCCGCACTGTTAGCACAGAGCCTGACGTGGAGCTCGAACTCATGAGCCATGAGATCGTGACTTGAGCCAAAGTTGGACAGACGCTTAACTGACTGAGCCACCCAGGTGCCCCTATAATTCTTTAGTATCAATTCATGCACTTTTTCTTTATCCATCCATGATACAGAGTAATTAGAGAAAGGCATTCCAAGTAAGAGTAAGTTTAAATCAATACAGTGTTATGGAAGGGAATTTACTTGATTGGGATGATCTTTATCTAAATTGTATATCTTGTTTTTACTCAATAGACTTCATATCTACCTCGGACTCAAGACTTACCAGCTAGGTCACTTTGGGGTCTATGCCACAAAAAATATTTTATGTGGAACTGTTTACAAGGGGGTCTTGGGATGCTTTAAATACTGATGTGAATGATCTAAAGGGCTAACTTGGGGAAAGTAAAACTCACTGACTGGGCTCTCAGAGGTGTAGAGACTGTCGTTGCTCTGGAAAAAGACTCAGATTAGTGGTGGCCTTGTATCTTAGTTATACACATTTCCATTAGTTTTGCCCCATGCTTATTGCCTACCAAGTTCTCGGTTTTTAGTCTG